CGCCAAGATGGAGGCATAGGTGCATTTGCCGGGCCTTCTCACACAACCAAGTTTAATGACGACAAACATTAGACACAGAAAACACAGCCAGAACACAGAATATTGAACTTTTAGGAATTCTGTTCACAACGAATTTTTCAGCCTGACCCGTAAGGGGTGAAACCAGCAGGTGGCAGAGTGGGGTAGCATGGGAACACTGGGTCAGACGAACTCAGGTGCGCGGAATCCAGGCCCAGGGTGGACCTAGTGAGCGAATGAGAGAGCGACCAAGCGAGCCACAGCGGGCAAACAGCGAGGGAGCAGGGCTGCGGGTAACTGTGGTCGCGCCTTTGTGCACGATAGTCGAGCGAGGGAGTGGGCCATTGGACCTCGACCCGGCGGGTCCCCGCAGTAAGCGGCACGGAGGGCGCCGCCATTTCCCTGCTCTGACCCCACCTCCACATACAGCGTCATAACCCAGCGACTCTGAGTGGCCAGGCCCTGGTGAACCACCTAAGGCTTTGCTCCTCACCCAGTGGCACGAAACAGCAGTGTCACAAAGCCCCCTTTACTTTCCCATGCTGGTTTTTTAGGCCCCGTTTTTTATTTTACCCTCAAAGAACTTAATCGTGGCACTGGAGAAGGCTATTTCCCTTCTGACCCACCAGAAATCCACTAGGCAAACAAACGCCCGGCGCGGCTCCTGGGCTTTTTCTTAACTGGTGAGTGACCAGGGCTCCTTTCCATTTTCCAGTCTACTTTGCAAGCCCAGTTTTCATATTTTAGTCTCTCAAAACTGAACGGGGCACTGGAGAAGGCTATTCTTCATATGAAGAACTTGAACCAAATTCCACAAAATCCTCCTGCTGTCCTGTCATGCTCCCGAGTGTTGTCTTAACTTCTCAGTGAGCAAGGCTCTTTCTGACATGGATCTGGGCTTGAAAACTGGCCTGGGAAAACTGGTCCAGTTTTCCCAGGACAGTTTTCAAGCCCAGTTTTCATATTTTTGCATCAAAGAACTCTGCACGGCACAGGAGGAGGCTTTTTTTCGTATTGAAAACCGGAAACCCATTTGGCAAAAAAACACCCACCCGGCAAGGCTACCGACTTCTCTCTCCCCTGCAGTGTGAGAAAGGCTCCTTTACCATTCCAAGGCTAGTTTTCCGAGCCCTCTTTTTCTCTTTTAGTCTCAGACAACTGCAGAGGGCACAGGGGAAGGCTATTTTTCATATTAAAGACCTGAAAGACATTGGGCAAAAAAAAACACCCGGCAAGGCTCCAGAGTTTTCTCTTAACTCCAGTGTCAGAAATCCCCCTTTACTTTTCCATGCTCGTTTTTTAGGCCCCGTTTTTTATTTTACCCTCAAAGAACTTCATCGTTACGCTGGAGAAGGTTATTTCCCTCTGACCCTCCAGAAATCCACGAGGCAAAAAAACGCCCAGAGCGGCTCCTGAGCTTTTTCTTAACTGGTGAGTGAGCAGGCCTTTTTTACATTTTCCACTCTAGTTTGCGAGCCCAGTTTTCCTATCTCAGTCTCTCAAAACTGAACGGGGCACTGGGAAGGCTATTTTTCATATTAAGAACTTGAACCAATTCCACAAAATCCTCCTGCTGTCCTGTAAGACTCCCGAGTGTTGTCTTAACTTCTCAGGGAGCAAGGCTCTTTCTGACATGGATCTGGGCTTGAAAACTGGCCTGGGAAAACTGGAACAGTTTTCCCAGGACAGTTTTCAAGCCCAGTTTTCATATTTTTGCATCAAAGAACTCTGCAGGGCACAGGAGGAGGCCATTTTTCATACTAAAAACCGGAAACCCATTTGGCAAAAAAAAACCACGCGGCAAGGCTACCGACTTCTCTCCTACCTACAGTGTGAGAAAGGCTCCTTTACTTTTCCAAGGCACGTTTTCCGAGCCGCCGTTTTCTCTTTGAGTCTCAAAGAACTGAAGAGGGCACAGGGGAAGGCTATTTTTCCTATAAAAGACCTGAAAGACATTTGGCGAAATTAACCTCACCCGGCAAGGCTCCAGAGTATTCTCTTAACTCCAGTGTCAGAAAGCCCCCTTTACTTTTTCATGCTGGTTTTATAGGCCCCGTGTTTTATTTTACCCTCAAAGATCTTAATCGTGGCACTGGAGAAGGCTATTTCCCTTCTGACCCACCATCAATCCACTAGGGAAAAAACGCTCGGAGCGGCTCTTGAGCTTTTTCTTAACTGGTGAGCGAGCAGGGCTCCTTTACATTTTCCAGTCTAGTTTGCAAGCCCAGTTTTCATATTTTAGTCTCTCAGAACTGAACGGGGGGTGGAGGGGACTTCCGCCAAGATGGAGGCATGGGTGCATTGGCCGTGCCTTCACACACAACCAAGTTTAGAGACAAGTAAATATTAGCCAACAGAAAACACAGCCAGAACACAGAATATTGAACTCTTCGAATTCTGTTAACAACAAATTCTTCAGCTTGACCCGTAAGGGGTGAAACCAGCAGGTGACAGAGTGGGGTAGCACAGGAAAACTCGGCCAGACGAACTCAGGTGCGCGGAATCCAGGCGCAGGGTGGGACCTAGTGAGCGACCAAGCGAGCCACAAAGCGAGCCACCGCGGGAAACAATGCAGGGAGCAGGACAGCGGGTCGCCTGTGGTCGCGCTTTTTGTGCGAGGATAGACGAGGGAGGGAGTGGGCCATTGGACCGGAACCCAGGGTGTCCCCGCAGCAAGCGGCAGAGAGTGCGCCGCCATTTCCCTGATCTGACCCCACCTCCACAAACAGCGTCATAATCCAGCGACTCTGAGTGGGCCCGCCCTGGTGAATTACCTGAGGCGCTGCTCCTCACCAAGTGGCACAAAACAGCAGTGTCACAAAGCCCCCTTTTCTTTTCCATGCTGGTTTTTTAGGCCCCGTGTTTTATTTTACCCTCAAAGAACTTAATCGTTACACTGGAGAAGGTTATTTCCCTCTGACCCACCAGAAATCCACTAGGCAAAAAACGCACGGCGCGGCTCTTGAGCTTCTTCTTAACTGGTGACCGAGCAGGGCTCCTTTACATTTTCCACTCTAGTTTGCGAGCCCAGTTTTCATATCTCAGTCTCTCAAAACTGAACGGGGCACTGGGAAGGCTATTTTTCATATTAAGAACTTGAACCAATTCCACAAAATCCTCCTGCTGTCCTGTAATGCTCCCGAGTGTTGTCTTAACTTCTCAGTGAGCAAGCTCTTTCTGAGATGGATCTGGGCTTGAAAACTGGCCTGGGAAAAACAGTTTTCCCAGGACAGTTTTCAAGCCCAGGTTTCATATTTATGCATCAAAGTACACTTCAGGGCACAGGAGGAGGCTATTTTTCATATTAAATACCTGAAACCCATTTGGACAAAAAACCACCTGGCAAGGCTACCGAGTTCTCTCTTACCTGCAGTGTTAGAAAGGCTCCTTTACTTTTCCAAGGCACGTTTTCCGAGCCGCCGTTTTCTCTTTTAGTCTCAAAGAACTGAAGAGGGCACAGGGGAAAGCTATTTTTCATATAAAAGACCTGAAAGACATTTGGCGAAATAAACCACACCCGGCAAGGCTCCAGAGTATTGTCTTAACTCCAGTGTTAGAAAGCCCCCTTTACTTTTTCATGCTGGTTTTTAGGCCCCGTGTTTTATTTTACCCTCAAAGAACTTAATCGTGGCACTGGAGAAGGCTATTTCCCTTCTGACCCACCAGAAATCCACTAGGCAAAAAAATGCCCGGCGCGGCTCCTGAGCTTTTTCTTAACTGGTGAGTGAGCAGGGCCCCTTTACATTTTCCAGCCTTGTTTGCAAGCCCAGTTTTCATATTTCAGTCTCTCAAAACTGAACGGGGCACTGGAGAAGGCCATTCTTCACATGGAGGTCTTGAACCAATTCCCCAAAATCCTCCTGCTGTCCTCTAATGCTCCCGAGTGTTGTCTTAACTTCTCAGTGAGCAAGGCTCTTTCTGAGATGGATCTGGGCTTGAAAACTGTCCTGGGAAAACTGGACCAGTTTTCCCAGGCCAGTTTTCAAGCCCAGTTTTCATATTTTTGCATCAAAGAACTCTGCAGGGCACAGGAGGAGGCTATTTTTCATATTAAAAAAGGGAAACCCATTTGGCAAAAAACCACCTGGCAAGGCTACCGAGTTCTCTCTTACCTGCAGTGTGAGAAAGGCTCCTTTACTTTTCCAAGGCTTGTTTTCCGAGCCGCCGTTTTCTGGTTTAGTCTCAAAGAACTGAAGAGGGCAGAGGGGAAGGCTATTTTTCCTATTAAAGACCTGAAAGACATTTGGCGAAAAACAAACACACCCGGCAAGGCTCCAGAGTATTGTCTTACCTCCAGTGTTAGAAAGCCCCCTTTACTTTTTCATGCTGGTTTTATAGGCCCCGTGTTTTATTTTACCCTCAAAGAACTTAATCGTGGCACTGGAGAAGGCTATTTCCCTTCTGACCCACCAGAAATCCACTAGGCAAAAAAATGTCCGGCGCGGCTCCTGAGCTGTTTCTTAACTGGTGAGTGAGCAGGGCTCCTTTACATTTTCCAGTCTAGTTTGCAAGCCCAGTTTTCATATTTTAGTCTCTCAAAACTGAACGGGGGGTGGAGGGGACTTCCGCCAAGATGGAGGCATGGGTGCATTGGCCGTGCCTTCACACACAACCAAGTTTAGAGACAAGTAAATATTAGCCGAACAGAAAACACAGCCAGAACACAGAATATTGAACTCTTACTTTGTTCGCAACAAATTCTTCAACCTGACCCTTAAGGGGTGAAACCAGCAGGTGACAGAGTGGGGTAGCACAGGAAAACTCGGCCAGACGAACTCAGGTGCGCAGAATCCATGGGCAGGGTGGGACCTAGTGAGCGACCGAGCGAGCGACCAAGCGAGCCACCGCAGGGAAACAATGAGGGAGCAGGAAGCGGGTCGCCTGTGGTCGCGCTTTTTGTACGAGGATAGACGAGCAAGGGAGTGGGCAATTGGACCAGGACCCAGAGGGTCCCCGCAGCAAGCGGCAGAAAGGGCGCCGCCATTTCCCTGCTCTGACCCCACCTCCACATGCAGCGTCATAACCCAGCGACTCTGAGTGGCCCGGCCCTGGTGAACCACCTGAGGCGCTGCTCCTCACCCAGTGGCACGAAACAGCAGTGTTAGAAAGCCCCCTTTACTATTCCATGCTGGTTTTTTAGGCACTGTTTTTTTAATTTTACCCTCAAAGAACTTATCATGGCACTGGAGAAGGCTATTTCCCTTCTGACCCACCAGAAATCCACTGGGCAAAAAAAATGCGAAGCTCGAATCCTGAGCTTTTTCTTAACTGGTGAGTGAGCAGGGCTCCTTTACATTTTTCAGTCTAGTTTGCAAGCCCCGTTTTCATATTTTAGTCTCTCAAAACTTAACTGGGCACTTGAGAAGGCTATTTTTCATATTGACAGCTTCAACCGATTCCACAAAATCCTCCTGCCCCCCTCTAATGAACCCGAGTGTTGTCTTAACTTCTCAGTGAGCAATTCTCTTTCTGAGATGGATCTGGGATTGAAAAATGGCCTTGGAAATATGTTCCAATTTTCCCAGGCCAGTTTTCAAGCCCAGGTTTTATATTTGAGACTCAAAGAACTTATCAGGGCACAGGAGAATGGTTTTTTTTCATATTAAAACATGAAACCCATTTGGCAAAAAAACATCCAGCTAGGCTACTGAGTTCTCTCTTACCTGCAGTGTGAGAAAGGCTCCTTTACTTTTCCAAGGCTAGTTTTTCGAGCCCAGTTTTTATATTTTAGCCTCAAAGAACAGAAGATGGCACAGGGGAAGGCTATTATTTATATTAAAACCTGAAAGCCATTCGGCAAAAAAACACCCGGCACGGCTCCCAAGTTTTCTCTCACCTCCAGGTTGACCAAGGCTCCTTTCCTTTTCCAAGGCCAGTTTCTGAAGCCCAGTTTTTATATTTTAGCCTCAAAGAACTTAACAGGCACCGGAGAAGGCTATTTTTCATATTAAAATCCTGAAACCCATTTGGCAAATAAACACCCGGCAAGGCTCCCGAGTTTTCTCTCACCTCCAGAGTGAGAAAGGCTCCTTTACTTCTCCAAAGCTTGTTTCTCAATCCCAGTTTCTTTATTTTAGCCTCAAAGGACATAACACCACACGGGAGAAGGCTATTTTCCCCTGAAGGACCTGAAACCCCTTTCCCAAAAAAACTCCTGGCAATGCTACCGAGTTTTCTCTTACCTGCAGTGTGAGATAGGCTCCTTTACTTTTCCAAGGCTAGTTTTTCAGCCAAGTTTTTATATTTTAGCCTTAAGAATTGAAGAGGGCACTCTAGAAGGCTATGTTTCATATTAAAAACCTGAAAGCATTTGACAAAAAAACACCCGGCATGGCTCCCGAGTTTTCTCTGACCTCCAGGGTGACAAAGGCTCCTTTACTTTTCCAAAGCTAGTTTCTCAAGCCCAGTTTATTTATTTTAGCCTTAAAAAGTATAACACGACCCTGGAGAAGGCTATTTGCCCTATGAAGTACCTGAAACCCCTTGGCAAAAAAACATCAGGCAAGGCTCCAGAGTTTTGTCTTAACTCCAGGGTTAGACAGGCCCCTCTACTTTTCCATGCTGGTTTTTTAGGCCCCGTTTTTTATTTTACCCTGAAACAACTTATTGTGGCACTGGAGAAGGCTATTTCCCCTCTGACGAAACTGAAATCCATTAGGCAAAAAACCGCCTGGCAAGGCTCCTGAGCGTTTTCTTAACTTGTGAGTGAGCAAGGCTCCTGTACGTTTTTCAGCCCAGTTTGCAAGCGCAGTTTGCATATTTTAGCGTCTCCAAATGTAAGTGGGCCCTGAAGAAGGGTATTTTTCATATTAAGAACCTGAAACCCATTTGGCAAAACCCTCCCGCCCTCGAGAATGCTCCCAAGTTTTGTCTTAAATGCTGAGTTAGCAAGGCTCCTTCCGAGGTGGTTCTCAGCTTGAAAAAGTAGTTTGGAGAACTGTAATAATTTTCCAAGGCTGGTTTTACAAGCCTAGTTCTTTTATTTTTGCCTGGGAACCAATTGGTCACTGGAGAGTGTTATTTACCTTCTGAAGAACCTGTAACCCATTCCGAAAACATCGTCTCGGCAAAGCTCCCTAGTTTTGTCTTAACCCAGGAGTGTGGAAGGCTCCTTCTTAGGTAGATCTGGGCTTGAAAATCTAGGTGTGGAAAACTGTAACTTTCCCCTGAGTGTATTATCTGGTTTCCAAGGAGATCTGACCATCGTGTGAAGCTCGCCCACACTCCCTACAACCAAGGGCTTCTCATCTGAGTGTATCCTGTGATATGTAATGAGAAGTGACTTCTGTGTAAATCCTCTCCCAAACTACCTGCAAACACAGGCCTTCTCTCTTAAGTGTGTCCTCTGGTGTCTTATGAGAACTGAGTTGTGTGGAAAGCCTTGTCCATACTTTGTGCAAATATAGGGCTTCTCTCCTGAGTGTCAATCCTTGTCTCTGATGAGATGTGACCCAGCACTGAAGCCTTGCCAACACTCTCCATTTTGGTTTGTTGCAATTCTTGATTTTTTTTGCTTTCACAAATAACTTGCCAGTGTCCTCTGGACTCTCTTTCTGGCCTCTCCGGCTCTTCTTCCTTCATTCTCTTGCTCACTCAAGCTCATTTGTTTTTGGAAGGTTGGAAAAAGGGTTTTGAGATTCTCCTCTCACTGATCCTTTTAAACAAAGATTTGGCCCTTACTTTGACCTCTTGACCTTCAGCTTTATCATTCCAGCCGTGCATACTAGTATGTTGCTGCTGTTGATTCTGATCCTCTGGGCAGGGTTCCTTCGCTTGGAGCTGTTTTCTTGCAGATGTTCCCAGGAGAATCTGAGAGGGATGACTGAGTTTCACGTGTTGGGTGAGGAAGTTCTGACTGGAAAAGGGCAGAGAGCAAGAGTGACATGGGTGGATGCCTGGCTTTGGTTCTGCTGAAAGACAAAGGTTTGGTCAAGGCAGATGTTTATGAAAATATCTGGTCCGTATGTAGTCTCCTGGTAAGACCTGCCCCATGAATCCTCCTGATGGTGGTGATAACACAACCTCTCTCTCCCAGTGTCCACTCGCTGTCTATTTTCCTGTTTATTTTTATGCAGTGCATCTTCTTCAGAAATTCAGAAAGCCCCCATTATGGGTCTTTTCTAATATTGCCCAGATTAGGGACTTTTGAGGAGCATGAGAGGCCATTTCACTCCCTGTGTGGATGGAACTGCAGTGACCTTTCCCATCTGTAGGCATCTTCTAGGTCATGTTACAGAGGAAAACCACAGGCCGCAAGTAGGAATCGCTTCTCTCAGTTTTCCAAAATAGTAAAATAAAATGTCCTTCCTCAAGCCTCACCCAGATATTTATGCTTCATCTTATTCAGTGTTACACCAGTTCAAATACACGATGAGGACCTGTTTCAAAATATTTCAAGCACATTTTTTACACGCCTGACTCCTGTCCTCTCTGGCCAATCCACCATGCTATCTCAGTTGGAGGTGAAGTAATATGAGGGGATTCCCCACTGGAGTTTATATTCTGAAAATTAACCAGACATAATCAGAACAGAGAACACACCACTCTACAGCTGACAACTGCACAGTTGCACTCAGGAAAGTCCAGTGTTTTTTCTGGGATCATCAGCACTGAATTCCTGGGTGCTAAGCATCTGTGTGATCTCCGTCCTTACCCTCTATGCTGAGACAAGACCCGAGTAACCCTCACCAAATTCAACGCCACACTTCTTTTCTTCCCTGTACTAGCTGTTCCCTCTGCCTGGGATCCTTTTGTCCGAAGGTATTTTTGTAAATGTTATCTCCTGAGGAGCCCTTCCCGGACAACCTACCACAGAGCACCTCCCTTCACACTGATCCCTAGGCACTTGTCCTGGATTAGTTTTCTCCAAAGCACTAACCGCTATGTAGTGTCATGCACATGGAAGCTCATGTGCCTGGGTTTCCCTCCTTCACCCATCAGCCCCTTAAGAGCAGTGATTCTCTCCTCATGTTAATGCCTATTTCCAGGTCCCACCACCCCATGCCATGAAGTAGGATCTCACCTGACAATTCAATTAGGTAATGAACAAATGTGCCTTGTCTGAATGTTGTGGCTTAGTGGGTTGGGTGTTGTCCCACAAAGTGGAAGGTTATAAGTTTGATTCCCAGTCAGGACACATGCCAAGGTTGTGGGTCAGTTGTGGGTGTGCCAGAGAAAACTGATTAATGTTTCCTTGCACAGATGTTTTTCTCCCTCCTTTCTAAATCTTTTTTTAAAAAAGATTTATTGATCGATTGATATTCAGAAAAGGGAGAAGGGAGGGATGGAGGAGGAGAAAAATATTCATATTTGGGTGCCTCTCGAGCACCCCCTACTGGGGGTCTGGCCCGAAACCCAGGCATGTGCCCTGACTGGGAATCGGCGACCCTTTGGTTCCCAGGCTGACAGTCAATCCACTGAGCAACACCAGCCAGGGCAAAATCTGTAAAAAATAATGAACGCCTACAAGAAATGTTTTATTTAGAAATATGGAGGAAAAATAAGAAGAAACAGCTATAAAAATGCCAGAAAAACTGCCTTGGTGAGAGAGCTGGTTAGTGCTTGAAAACTTTTTTGTCTGTCAGCCTTTAGGCAGTAAAAGCAGTTGTACATTTTGGGCATGAAATATTTTAAAATAAAAAATTTAAAATTTTGCCTAAGAGTCAAAGGCATATGAATGCATGGTGAGTTTCTCAAGCATGTGATCTGAACCTTTACTGACTTTAGAGTGGATTTTACTGTACTTAAGAGTTGGACCGTGTATATGTCTATGGAGAATTCTTTTTTCTTTCTGTTTTGAAGAACAGTGGCGCCCACCCTCTCCCAGCTGCAGGCTCTCCCTTCCACTTGCTGCCAAGCTCCTGGCCATACTCATCCCCGTACCAGACCGGGAGCTCACAGCCCAGCCTGACGACCCAGCAGGTTCAGCAGAAAATCTGCCTGTGGTATTGAAAGGCCACCAGGTTCTGCTCTTCATCATCCCGGGCACAGTTCACATACCTGGGGTTGAGGTAGAGGAAGGGAAAGAAAACCACAGTGATGAGGTCCCACTACCTGTTACATCCATGTCCAGCTCCTCACTGATTCTGAAGGCCCTCAGGCTCTGCTGTTGCCCAATGCCCCCGGTGCTCCCGGGGAACCTTCTGTTCAGTGCCTGAATGTCTCTCAGCATGTCATGTAAATTCCTACCTCCAAGTCCTGCTTGTAGTGCTAATGCTGCCTAATACCATTTCCTACAACTCAGTTCCAGCCTTAACCTCCACCCTGATTGGCCATAATATCCAGTCATCTCTTGCTTCTCCAAACTCTAAATCAAGTTGTCTCACACCACAGAACCTGGTGCTTGATCTAGGGTTCTGCTTCTCAATTAGGTCACTAATTACTCAGTACTCAGCCCACATCTATTTTCTCTTGAGAGGCCTTTCTCTAACCCCCCCTACACTTTATGTAGGGTACCTCTCACTTGCCTGCCCAAGGTTACTATAGAAAATTGGAGGTCTTTTTGTCTTGTTAGAATAAAACGACAATAGTAGTTGATTCACATTCTGTTATCCCTGATAGAAGAGAGCCCCTGTCAGGAAAGGGGCCCATGACCATTGCTCTGCAGGCCTCAGAGCCCAGCTCTAGTTAGAAGTGAGGCTGGGAAGGTTTGCTGCCCTCACAGGTTTAGGCCACTCTTGGTTTGTGCTATCTTGACACTGTGCACTTCTTGGAAATTATAGTTAAATGTTTCTAAAAGCAATTGTCTTATGTCTGTCTGTGAGAAGTCATCCATAAGGACATGGGTTGTGTGATCTGTTTAGTAATGTTATATTCCTTCACCTAAACTGGAATAGAGTAAGTGCTTAATTAATGTTCATTTGATAAATTAGAGTGTAATCCAGTGTCCCTGGTGAATTTAGGCTCTTCAAGGTCCTTTCCAGTGCCCAAGTTGTGTCTAGTAGAGAGCTTTGTTTTGAAAACATATATTTTTTTCTAAATGTCCCCTGAAATGAAAGAACACTGCATAGAGAAAAAGAGGGAGAAAAGGATTGAGGGAAACCACTGAGGGAGGCATGATGAGAGGGGCAGATATATGGGCTCCTGGGGGATGAGTGTCCCCTCTGGCACCCAGAGACCTGTTGACCTCACCTCATCCAGTTGGCCCAGGATTTGTCCTTCCCATCCACATACTCATAGCAGTTTCTCCCTCTGGTGATCTGTGTTTTAGAAAAGAAGTTAAAGACCTTTTACTTTTTTTGTGTGGGGAGGTAATAGAAGAATTATTTTACTCCACTGTCACCAAAGCTGCATGGGGACTTAACTGCTACTTGTGACCACATGATATTTTTCTTACTCATCATCTACACATCTGAGTTTACCTGTCCAGTCAGAGCAGGAGTCCAAGAGAAAGGAACCAGTCTTTTGTGTCTGTACCACTTTGCTCCCACTTACCTTCTGGTCCTTAAACAGGAGCTCTGTGTTCATGTGAAGTCCAGTCAGTACACAGAGCTAAACATATTGTCCCCTCCATGTCTAGCACATAAGAGGAGAGGTCCCTCCAAGCCTCAGAAGAAATGTGGGAAGCCAGGGGACAGTGGAAGATGTAAATAGTTCTCACCAGCCAGGAGTTTCTGCTCTTGGCTACCTCTTCATCTTCTGTGATGTGTCCTGCATAAGTGCCAAAGTGCAGACCCACTGGCAAATCAGCTGCCTCATTCCACACTCCAAGCCCAGCCTCAGGGAAGCCCGATGGCCCGATTCTCAACCCAGCGGGCAGGGTGAGGGCTGAGCGGTGGGGATGCCCCTTGTCCACTGCACTGTCCTTTACAAATGTAGGGGGCCCATGCATAGCACAGCTGTCGATGAAGAAGTTCTGACACTTCTCACAATCTGGAGGTGAGAGCGTCAGTGTTTAGGTAAGGTATAGCGCATGTTCCTGGACACAAAGAGCTTCAGAGGGAGTCCAGCACTGACATCATTGAGACTCAATCCTGTATGCCAGGTCAGTAGAGGAAGGGAATGTTTTGGGGAGCAAAGGACTAGATGAAATTATTGTATTATAATATACTTCTTAGTGTGGGTCACTTACAAAGGTACTCATCATCCTGGGGCTCGTTGTTCTCTTTGTACACATGGCCCTTTCTTTCTCGTAGGTTGTACATCTTCACATCCATTTCTTTTCTCTTGAGTTCTAAGTTGGAGGCCAGGTGGAGTGTTAGTTCCCATTTTATCATATAACACACAATCTCCTCTCATCAAATGACCACCTGTCCTTTTACATACTCTGGTATTTCACTCTGTTAACTATTGGTCCAGAAGATGAAGACTCCATACTAACTACAGATGACTGATACAATTTCAGTGTCTGGATCTTCCCATTACCAGGTTTAACTTGCCAACCTTTAATCACTCATAAAATATTTATTGAGTGCACTTTGTGTTAGGCATTGAGTAAAGGCCTGGGCACACGACACCAATAAAGTGTGGTTGCTATGATCACAGATGGACTTATTGGACAACTTGCATGTGTCAATTGTTTTAAATTTAATTTAATGTTTTCAAACAATATATGAGTGATGTTTCCTTATCTTCTTCTCTTTACACATTAGCATTCAGGAGTTCAGAAAATTTATAGGATTTGCCCAAAGCTCCATTGCTAACTTCAGTCTCAGCTTAGCCCAGCTTAAATCCAGGCTCATCCAAAATCCTCCCCACATACCTAGGTCATACTTATCAGGCTTTCTATAGAACTTAGAGGAACTCAATTATTTTATCCTACCTGATTTTTGTCTAGTGTGCTTTCCAAAGGCACATGCTTCTCCAGAAGGGGACACTGGTTTCTGGGCCTGCTCTGAGTCACTTGCAGTCATCAAATTTGCTATTCCTGATAATTCCTTCAAACTATCTTCATTGTTTAATGACACCGTGGATGTTGCCTTCCATATAAGAATCACATATTAAAAGATAACATGTATTTAATTTTTTAAGGCTTATGATACATTTTACATGCATGTCTTTAATACTTAACCCTTGGAAACACATAGGGAGTATGAATATTGGAGAGGATAGAGCCAATGTGGATAATGAACCCAAGATTAGAGCTTGTGCCTTATGGCTCTTTTCTTTCAACTGTCTGTATAATATTGAGAGTTAAGGATATTTGGAAAAGAATAAAGAAATAATTGGCAGAAACATATCTAGACAATAAATAAAATGGTGATAAAATTTTCAATACCTTAGGAAGAATATTCATACTTAGGTTATCTGGTTCCCACCAATTCTCTTTGAATAAGGCTGTATCAGTAGCTAGTTGTCTTCAGTTTCATGATCTATAACATGCTAATTTTCAATGTTATAGTAAATGTGCAATGAAATAATGCTCACCAGTGTTCTGTGAATTGTGTAATACAGTATAAATGTGAGATTACAGTCCTGCTATCAATTTACCCCTCAGCTCTCTCCATATTTCACATCTCACAGAAATTACCTTCAGTGTTCATTGATCATCTTCTAGTTTAATTTGTAATTGTGAGTTCATTCAGCAAACATTTGGGGGCCCTCCAGGGCCCTGATCTGGGCCTGTCACCTCTGAGAAGTCTGAGGCATGAACCAGCCTCTCAAAGAGCTCACAATGCAGAGGTAGGCAGGCTGAACAAATGATTCTAAATGGGATGAGTGTGGCCTTCTTTCCCTGAACTCAAAGAAGGTGTTACTTCCCGATATAATAAAGGGCATTTGAAATCAGTTCCAGATGGATGAGTTTCTAGAGAAGAGTGTGCAACTTATATGAAGTCCTTTGTAGGAGACCATTCTGCATGGTGTGGGCCCAGCCCTCAGCACAAACATTTACTGCAAAGTAACTTCCTAAAATCCATGCTAAACCTTCCAAGGACCAGTGTAACTGGTTCAACCACTTTTGCCTTTTCATTTGCAAATATCTGTCTTCTGTGATGTGTTTAGCAGCATTGGCTCCTTTGCTGTCTGTAAAAGCTAACCACCTAAACCAACTTGTGCATAGTAAATAAGGACCATCATGTAATCTGCTGAGAAACCCAATAAATGCTGGTCATGGCAGAGGCTGCAGCTTTTGCTACCCATGAGAGAAAAGCTGTGCTGTCACTTTTCCTCCACCGGACTTGGTAGTCTGTGTGAATGTCTTTTCCTCCATAATGACGCGGACACTGCGGGCCAGTGTCCACATCAGTCCTTAAGTCACTTCATTATTTGTTGTTTCTCAATCATCAAACCTGAAGCTCCTCAGGGGTCGGAGATGCTTTCTTGAATTAGAGTGGGAGGCTTTGATCCTGGACACTTTACATTCTTCTTCATCTGGGACCATCCACTGTACAAACTGCCTGCACATTGTACGCTTTCCTTACTCAGAGGGTCTTAGTGCACCTCTCCCTTCAGCACAGCAGAGAACTTTGGCTGAAAGTCAGATGAATGATGTAATGACATATGGATGAGACCATGTAAACTTTAGGAAACTATGAAAGTTTATTGATCTAATTTCTTTTTCTTTTTTTTAATTGATTATGCTGTTACAGTTGTTCTATTCCCCCCTTCATTCCCCTCCACCCTACCCCCTATCCCCACCATTACCCCCCTTTAGTTTATGACCATGTGTCTGTCTCAAGTCCTTTAGATTCTTTATTTCCCATGCTATTCTTGCCCCCCATCTATTTTCTATCTACTGTCTATGCTACTTATTTTCTGTACCTTCTCCCCCCTTCTCCTCCTCCCACTCCCCTGTTGCTAACCCTCCTTGAGATCTTCATTTCTATGTTTCCACTCCTGATCTAGCTGTCCTTTTAGTTTGCTTTCGTTTTAGGTGTGGTTGTTAATAACTGTGAGTTTGTTGTCCTTTCACTGTTCATGTTTCTTTAACTTCTTTTTCTTAGATATGTCCCTTTAACATTTCATATAATAAGGGCTTGGTGATGATGAACTCCTTGAATTTGATCTTATCTGAGAAGCACCTTATCTGTCCTTCCATTCTAAATGAAAGTTTTGCTGGATAGAGCAATCTTGGTTGTAGGTCTTTGGATTTCATGACTTGGAATACCTCTTTCCAGCCCCTTCTTGCCTGTAAGGTCTCTTTTGAGAAATCTGCTGACAGTCTGATGGGGACTCCTTTGTAGGTGACTGTCCCCTTAGCTCTTGCTCCTTCTAGGATTCTCTCCTTCATTTTAATTTTGGCTAATGTAATTATGATGTGCCTTGGTGTGTTCCTTCTTGGGTCCAACTTCTTTGGTACTCTCTGAGCTTCCTGGATTTCCTGGATGTCTATTTCCTTTGCCAGATTGGGGAAATTCTCCTTTATTATTTGTACAAATAAGTTTTCCACTGGTGGCTGTGCCTTTCCCCTTTCCGGTACCCCTATAATTCGGATATTGGAGCATTTAAAGATGTCCTGGAGGTTCCTAAGACTCTCCTCATTTCTTTGAATTCTTGCTTCCTGACTCTTTTCTGTTTGGCCATTATTTGCTTTCTTCTGGTCCACTCCATTGGTTTGAGTCCCAGTTTCCTTTTCATTGCTATTGGTGCCCTGTGCAATTCCATTCATTTCAATTAGTTTCGCCTTCATATATTTGTCTAATTTGTGGGTATAATCAACCAGTTCTGTGAGGATCCTGATGACCAGTGTTTTAAACTGTGCCTGTGAGAGTTTTGCTATTTCCTCATCTCTTAGATCTATAGGTTCTGGGGCTTTGAGATCTTCCTGCGCCATTTTTGGTCTGTTCTGGCCCTTTAAGTGTGAGAAGCGGCACCTCAGACTCCCAGGTCGCTGGGTTGTGACGCTGTATGTGGGGGCGTGGTCAGAGCAGGGAAATGGCGACCCCCTCTGCTGTTTCTCACAGCTGGGTGAGAAGCAGCGCCTTAGGTGGTTCCCCTGGGCCCGGCCACTCAGAGTCGCTGGGTTATGAGGCTGTATGTGGAGGTGGGGTCAGAGCAGGGAAATGGCAGCGCCCTCCACTGCTGCTTGCCGTGGGCCCCCCCCCCCGTCCAACCGCCCACTCCCTCGCCTGTCCACCCGTGCACAAATGCACGACCACAGTCAACATGCAGCACCGCTCCTCCACTGTCTCCCTTGTGGTCGCTCACCTGGTCGCTCGCCTGGTTGCTCACTCGGTCGCTCACTAGGTCCAACCCTGCGCCTGGATTCCGCGCGTCTGGATTCCGCGCACCTGAGTCCGTCTGACCGAGTCCTCCTGTGCAACCCCGCTTCACCAGCCACTGGTTTCGCCCCTTACCGGTCAGGCTGAAGAATTTGTTGTTAACGGACTTCCGAAAAGTTCAATTTTCCTTGTTCTGACTATGTTTTTCTGTTGCTAATATTTAGTTGTCTCTAAACTTGGTTGTGTGAGAAGGCATGGCACAGCCACCTATGCCTCCATCTTGGCGGAAGTTATTTATCTAATTTCTTAAAAAAAGATTTTGCTTATTTTCTTGAGAGAGAGGAAGGGAAGGAGAGAGAGAAACATTGATCAGTAGCCTTTCACACACATCCAAACCAGGAAACTGGCACACAACCCAGGTATGCGCCCTGACCAGGAATCAAACCAGTGATCTTTTGCTTTGCAGGATGACACCCAACTGGTGACAGTGGCCAGGGCAAAACTCTGAAAGTTTTAATGAGCTGGTAAGTGGTTTAGAGAAGCAGCTATGAATTAGATTGCACTACCACTGATACTGTGATCTTAAGAAATATAGCCAAACTTTTCTGTATCTCTGAAAGATCACTTTCCTCATCATAAATGGTGACAGTTATAGTACGTACCTCACCGAGTTGTTGCAATGTTTAAGTGAGTTTATTCACATAGAATTCTTAAAGTCTGAAACAAATGGTAATTAGTATTGTTGCTGTAGTTGTTAACTATTAAGATGATGATGAGCCCTGGCTGGTTGGCTCAGTGGATTGGGTACTGGCCTGCAGACTGAAAGGTCACCAGTTCCATTCCCGGTCAGGGCACACGCCTGGGTTGTGGTTCAGGTTCCCTACTTGGGGGTGGGTGAGTGGCAACCCATATAGGTGTGTCTTGCACATGCTCCTCTCCTCACTTTCTCCCTCCTTTCCCCTCTCTCTAAAACACCAATAAATAAAATCTTTTTTAAAAGATGGTAATAACGGACAATGTGTTGAAGAGACCAGGAAAGGAAGTCAGCAGTTCCTAGGATACTTTCTGCATTTCCCTACTCTTACCTGCATATCTATCCATAAGGAAAATTTTCCTGTCAACAGGATTTGGGAAATACTCACCTTATGTTTACTCTGTTCCCTTCTGAAGGCCACCCAAATAGGTTTCACTGAAAGATGAAGAGAAATCAGTGTTTTCATTGGTAAATGTTTCCAAAATCTGGAGATTCTTATTAGGGACACAGAATTCTGAATGAGTAGTTCAAGAACAATACCAGGATGATTGGAAAATGTTTTCTGAGGTATCATTAAGGCCTAGGCTTCTATTGGGGCCATTCACTCATTTCATTAGAATGATAAAAAAAATAGACAAAGTGTTATCTATGCTTCACCCTATGTTCATAAAGCATCTATTATCATTTATTAAAAGATACACTGGCCTCTCCTGACAAAAATGTAATAAAATGTAACTGCACAGAAACTCCATGTCTTCAATATAACCCTTTCCCCAGCCCGTTTTCTTTATTCAAACTGGCCTTGACTGGCTAAGGGCACCAGGACCATCTTGTCTCCTTTCTCTGGTATCCTCCCCCCTGTGCACATACTGGCCATCCACGCCCTTTTTTAATCTGTAGACTCTGGTCAGCATCCACAATCTGATGACCACAGAAACAGAATTCCAGTCGAGTCGAAGATCACATCTTGATTTTACCTGTGTTTCAGTCCCAGACCCATGAAAGTGGACAGACTCTACCCAGTGAATACTCATGATACTGGACAGAATGGCATCATGGCTGACATCAAGAAGTGATATAGTGATCAACCACTCCTGACCCTGGCCCTCCCCCCAGCTCCTGTTATCAGCATGGTTATACTATTTCCCATCTGTCTCCAGGAGGGCATCGGGTAGCCAGGTGTGGGGACACTCCTCACCAGCCAGACCTGCCTCCCTCTCTTGCAATGACTATTCTGAATTAGTTATTTCTTATTCATTCCTTTGTTCTCATACAATTACTGATTATTACTGTATCTATAAATATATATGATTATGTTGCACACTTGAAAGTTCACAGGAATCGCCCCTCACTGTACCACACACTGTTCTGCATCCTGCGTGTTCACTGAACAAGCAAACTCTTTCCCCTGGTTAACTCCTGAGATGCAGCCTGACCTAAACCAGGTCCATGCCAGGAGGGTAGCTCTGGTTTCTCCTGCCCCTCACCTTGCCGCCTTGGAGCCCATTCTTCATCAGAGTCCTCAGGGTCCTCCTCCTGGAGCTCAGTGGCCTGCCCGCGGTGACACATAAAAGCTGGTCGAGGGGCCCTGAGACCTGGAAAGAGACAAAACCTTTGTCCTGAAAGCAAAGAGCCTGGAGGAGCAAAAAGCACCAGGAAGCCTGTGTGACTGGCTCGGTTGGGATGGGAGAGTAAAAGGAGTTGCTGTGAGCGCTGCACCATCAGCGCCAGCCCTGCTGTGATGCTGTGACTGAAGGAGCAAATTCCCCCTGATCAATGCCCACGCAGGAGGAAGCTGCAGGAGGGAGCTGCAGGCGGATGGAGCCGCCTGAGCCTGAGCCGGGGCCAGCCCAGTAGCGTGGCGGGTTCACCAAGCCCCTGGGCCCAGCGCCTGCGCACACAGCTACCGAGGCTGGTGAGCACGTGGAAGTTCCTCCTCACGTTCCGGTAGGGGCCTTTCTCCCAGTCTCCCATCGCTGCCCACTCCTCTCTGGAGAAGTAGAGGGAAGCGTCTTCCAAAGCTTCTTCGGCCTGGAGAGGAGAGTGGAAACGCAAGTATCTCGGTGATGCTGGAGGGTCTTCCCTGCCCTGGCCCCACGGCAACGCGGAGTCCAGTCTCTCCCACCAGCGCTCTGCACCCGCACAGCCAGGGTCACCACCAGGAAAGTGTCTTTGTTCCACCAGACTGTGGTCAGGATCCCCAAGATTCGTCTAGGCCCGTGCTTGCCCTCCCTTGTCAAACCAAGATATGCAGGACCAGTGAGTACATGGTCAAGACTGCATTCGGTGGAAACAGGTCAGTAAATTCTGACCACGCTATTCACAGACACAAAATAAGTCCCAGAGGGATCAAAGATTTAAACGCAACAAATGACAGAATAAGTACACTGGAAAACACACTGGAAGAATTTCAAGTCTCAAAGAAATCGCGTTATGTATGAGTAATATGAGTAATATGTATGTTTAAGTAACTCTGGTGCAAAAATATTTTAGAAATATGAAGACAAGATAAAACCAAACAAAACTAAATAAGTTTTTAAATTGCTGAGAAAACCAACAAGTATTTCGCATAAAAATAAGGTATCAAGTTGGAGGACGGGTCCACAGAGCAGGGTCAGTGTAGATGCTACTGGCTTTCACAGGATAAAGAGGGAAGAGTGTTTCTGGTCCATACCTAGTTTTGAGCCCGTAAATATAACTTCATTTCCATGGACTGGAACTGCGCCAACTACATAAAGGGAAACTGCATAAAGGGAAACCTCACTAAAGAGGAGTTGGGGGTCAGTGGGGTTGCTCCACATAGCACCACCCAGGGTCAATTACAGGAAAAATTGTCTCAGGCCCCAACATGAAGATGTACTGTGTGCTTCCAGGAGAAACCGAATCCCCAGCAACTCAGCCAGATAGAAGCCATAGTCACCCTGAACTGAGGATTTTCTGCAGATCTTATTCTTTCTTCTAAAACTTGTATGGTTTATTTTTTTTTTACATTAAAACATTTTGAGAAAGAGAGAGATATTGATCTTGTTGTTTCACTTATTTATGAACTCGTTGGTTGGTTTTTGTATGTGCCCTAATGTGTGACAAACATTCAATCTTGGCGCATTGGGATGACTCTCCAACCAACTGACCTACCTGGCCAGAGCTATTTTTTTTACAGTTATATCTCTGAGCCATTTGAGAGTTACTTTGGATTATGGTATGAGGAGAATGTTCAGTTTTACCACACCCCCAAAAAAAATCAAGTTGTTTTAACATCATGTATTAAAAGTTCATTGTTTCCCAATGATTTGAGATGCCACCTTTGTCAAATATTAGAACCTGTGCACCCCAATGTTTATAGCAGTGTTATTTACAATAGCCAAGTGCTTGAAGCAACCTAAGTGCCCATCAGTAAATGAAAGGATAAAAAACTGTGGTACATTTACACAATGGAATACTACACAGCAGAAAGAAAGAAGGAGCTTCTATCCTTCAGAACAGCAGGGATGGAACTGGAGAGCATTATGCTAAGTGAAATAAACCAGGTAGTGAAAACAAATATCATATGATCTCATGTATAAGTGGAACTTAATCAACAAAAAAACACAAGTGAGCAAAATAGAACCAGAGACATGGAAATAAAGAACAAACTGACAGGGACCAGAGTGTCGGGGAGGGGGCAATAAGGGAAAGAAGGGTAAGTGTCGTTAAGGAACATGTATAAATGACTCATGGACAATGACAATGGGGGGATTGAATGTGGGAGGTGGAATGAGTAGGGCAAGGGAGAGTAATGGGGGACAATGTGGACAACTGTAATTGAACAACAATAAAAACATTTTTTAAATTAAACCTTGCACGAAATATCAATTCTTGCCCTTTTGTCACCCTGTGCTACACACACCGGTGACACAGAGTTTAGGGTGCACCTTAATATCTTGTAGGGGAATCCCTGCTAGTGTGAAGGGCAGGGAGCCTGCCCTGAGACAGGTGGCCTTCCATCAACCCCCAAAGCTGTGTGGGTTGGGGTAGATGGTGAATGGATGGCTTTTAAGAGGGAAGTAGGTCATCCTGTCCCTGAGGATTGATTGTGGGAGGTTCCTTTGTCCTGGGAAAATAAAGGACTCCATTTTCCTGGAGAACTCAGACTTAGTCCTGACCACATTTGTGCAGAATAATGTTTATAACATGAGAAATCAGTTTTTTGCACTCTAGACACGGACATTTATTAAAGCTTTGGCAACCCCATTGGAGCTGGCTCCATCCTAAAGAACAGGGGGTAAGGGGGTTTCAGTGTGACTCTTGATGTTCAGATTGTCTCATTGTTTTATTTATCCAGGGCAGGAAGCGAGCAATCCTGGTGAAGACTGTTGGAGGAGCCCCAAAGCTTCTTCCATAGGAGACAATGCCCTGAGCCACATTGTTACACACCAGGGGTCCTCCGGTGTCCCCCTGTGGGTGATGAGAGAAAGGGACACTAAGCCAGGCTGCTGAAGTATGTACCTCCCCATTCCTTTTGTCCCATAGCCTGAACCTCTGTGTGAGATGGGAAGACAGTGGGGGTGCAGAATTCAAGCTCCTTCATCTTTCATTGGTTAGGCTTCAACCCTGGCAGTGGGTACTGTCCCTAGCTCAACCTAAGTCAAGATACCTTTACCTTTCCCATGAAAACACTGCATATGCATGTTGTGTATCAGGCAGTCCTCCCCTCCCCTCAGAGACTGCACTGATGGGTAAAAGCCCCCACTTTACTCTGGTCTGACCCCCACCCTGAAGTCATGGGGATGTAGTCTGTTCCCAAGCCCAGTTCTTTCCAGATGCCTCTGTCTCAGGTAGTGTTGGCAGATGCCTGGGGTCTTACCCGGAATGTGGTCGACTCATCATTCTGGTTCCCCACACAAATCTGCTTTCGGCTGTTGTAGGTATTAAAGAGATTGTTGCACACCTGATCCCTCTGTACCTCCAGCTGCACATCCCGAAGTGTGTCTGTTCGTCTGTTCTGGCCCACCAGGCCCCAGCCTGCCACAGTGCACTGGGACCCAGGTCTGAGCTCGGTCTGAAATTGAGGCAGAGCCACTGGCCTCACGAATTGATTCCGCCTGGCTCTATTTTCCAGCTGGTGGAAAGAGTACAGGCACTTAGGGGAAATCTATGCAGAGCTCAGCACACCACCCCTGGGTCTCTGCCCCTGCTTCCTCCTCCATGGACCAAGGAGAAAGTGAAGCCTGGACCTGGGAGGGAACCCACTCAGGTGGGAAACCAGAGGGTCAGGCAGAAGTACCTGCAGTAACATGATGTCATTCAGGTTGTTGTCCTCATTATACCCAGGGTGGCGGGTGGCTGTGAGCACCTGTATGCGCTGCTGGGTCCTTTCCTGCCTACTGATGTTGTGCGCCCCCAGGATGACCATTATAGTGCTGCAAAGGAAGGTAGTCTAGAGGTAGGTATGAGCTGCATGAGATACAGTCCCCAAGATCTACAGGGTAGGTGGAGAGCCCAGGGCAGCAAGACAGCAGCTGAGGGAAGTGAGGGGACAGGAGGGCTCTGGGGCAGAGATCACTGTGGCCTCTGCTTAAGTCATCCTAGTATTGCTTCCCCTAGAAAATTAAGAAATAACTTAAATTCATCTTTCGAGTAGTAATGCATGCCTTTTATTTCCTCCTTTGGTCTTCATTTACACTGGACTGTTCCCTGCCCTGCAAGACTTATCTAGTCTTTGTTCACCTCTTCATTGCTGGAACCCATCTCAGTGGAATGCTCTCATGAATGCTTCTGGACCTACCTTACTGGGGTCATGGAAGATTAATAATTACCTTCCCCAACAGCGAGCTGATGTCATCACAAAGTCTTCTCGCACCAGGAACCCCCCACAAAAGCTCTCACGCACTGGTGTCTGGGTCAGAAGGTATGCCATGTAGGGGAGGGAGTGGGGACTGGCTTCATGGCCTCCAATGATCTCCTCTGGAAGGAAGTATTCAGCAGTTATTACTCTGCTCACTGAAGTGTCAGTTTGGTGGCTCCAGAAAGGCTGGGAGGTGGGGAGGCTACAGAGATGATGCAGGGAGAGGAGGATTTGGTGGTGAGAACTGGGGTCTGCAGGGAACCACATCATGGGAGAGGGCTCCAGGGGCCTGTAGGAAACAAGGCTGGTTCCCCAGCCCAGACCTCAGCTCCCTCTGCCTCCCCCAAAGGAGAACAACCCTTGCTGCAGGCAAGAGCTCTTAGGCCTCTCTCCTAGGGTGGAGAGATCTGTGCTGTCAGGATCCAGAGCCTTCTGGAGCTGCTTCACCTAAAGTTTGCTGGTACTTTCTTATCCAAGAAGCTTTCCTGATTCCTGTTTTTCCAGCTCATGACCAGCTCATGAGCAGCATGGACTTTTGTAAGAATCTAGACATGAACTGATGGGGCTGTTATTGCTGTATCCTTGTCTCCTAGGTTTTGATACATGGGCTGTAGAGGGAATTCAAAGAGCAGAGTTGCAGAGCACATGCTGCATGCCAGGGGCAATTCCAAGAGTTTCATGTACACTAACTGACTGTCATGTAACTGTCAGCAACTGTATGAGGTAGGCATTGCTATTATTCCTTTTCACTGATGAGGAACCTGAGTCCTGTGAATTCAAATGATGTGCTCAATGACACAGAATTTGAAAGTGACTAGGATGTCTAGATCCAGAGTGTATGGGATGGGGATGGGCCTATGAGGGTTTGGATGGTCACTCACCTGCTCCAGCCCCAGGAGGTAGGAGAAAGGCCACCAGGATAAGGAGGAGCTGCATCTTCCAGAGAAGGCTGCTGAACAGTTGCTGCTGGTACTTCCTCCTGCCAGACTTTTAGCCTTCCCAGAGAGGAAGGTAGGAAGGGAGGGTGGGTGGGGACTAGGTGGTTCACAGTTCCATTTCTCTGGGGGTGTGGTAGGTTTCAATGACAGCTGGCCTGGAGGCTGGCCTACCAGCTGCCAGTGACTTGGAGGAAGAGAGGTGATCCAAGCCACCAATGTGTCTCCTGCAGTTGCTGAGGCAGTGCTTCAGGAGTAATGGAACTAGGGCACAAGGAGAGGAGATTTGGGCCTGGTGTTCCAGAAGCCCAAACCCACCCTATTGAACAATGTCTCAACAAGGCTTGAACACTGCTAGCTACCCAGAGCTTCCATTTTCTATTGCTCTGGGATTGAAGCCTGCCTGTCCTCAGCATTTGGGCCCTGGCTACCTGCCAAAACCCTGGCTGTTCCCACCACTTTCTGGAAGGTGGTGAGGCAGATTGAGTAGCTCTCACTCCTGAATGAGTGAAAGGCACTGACAGAGAAGGAAATGGAAGATAAAGATTGTGCCACTGAGGGTAACTTTGTCAGGTCACTTGAGCCCAGAGAAGGTCTCGCTAAAAGTTATGACATAGTTGAATACTTGTATTTGTTTGCTTCCTACTCAAGATGAAGGCCTTTGTCTCTCAGAAGGTTCCTGTGTGCAGAAAAAGCGTTGTGAGTTGATTTTGTTGAGAGCTGTCATAGCCTGCCTGCAAAACATATAAGCTCCTATTTCATCTGGGATTCATGAGATCTATTAAGCAAATCCCCCTTCTTCACCCAGGGTGGAGGGAATTGGAACTACACATTCATTATGTTACAGAAAACAACTCAGCCACTTTCGGGTATATGGAGTGGAAGTTTATTTTCATGTATGCGGACCCAGACGAGTCAGTCTCCAAATTCTGGGCCCTAAGCTGTGGGGGACAATTATCTATATAGGGTGAGGGGCGGTCTGACACTCTGACCGTTACTTTTGACTTGAAAGCAAGAAAGCTGAACCGCTGATAAGAGTTAATACGAATTTCTTTGTTCTTACTCCTCAGTTACTTAGTTACTTGCTCTCCCTGATCCTGTTGACTCATCGGCTAGCTCCCCTCCTGGGCAGGCCACTACAATTATAGAGTGAGAACAGGGAGTATACTGCAGAATGACACAGTGGATGTGAGGCACACTTAAAACTTTAGAACATTTGTGTGTGCTCAGAAAAACATTATAAGCCAGCGCGATTTTTTTAAAACCTATATCAAAATTGAAAAGTAATACTGTTCTTAAACTTTTAAGATTCCTGATAGGCCCACTTGAAAATCTTATGAAAGTTATATATCATCTCTTTATATTTAAATATATACACATTTTCACTTATATTTTAAATTGTAAGAAATTTAATCTTCCCTCTAATGTATGTTCTATGACTGCAACCTCATGAATTTTTTTATACATCTGAAAAGCAATATGCAGAAAAAAAGAGAAGAAAGAGAAAATAGTGTAATAGACTAACTGGTGTCTTATTTGTGCAATTTTAATTTGTTGTTGCTTAATTTTTTTCAACATTTAATTTTGCTTTAAAAACTTTAGTTTAAAAACAGAAAGATAAGGAACAGCCTGCACATGTGAAAAAAGGGAGTAAAGTCTATGCATCCAGTGGTTAGAATAGTGATGTGGGGAGGTGATTTTACTAACAGTGACCTAGGATTGCATGCCAGCCTTCCCACTAAAAACAACAGAAAACAAAACTGTTTAAATGTCTTAAACCTTCAATGACTAAAAGTACTGCCAATACAGGAGTAATTATCAGGCCAAAACTGAAAGCATAATGGGAGTCCAGTTAGACAGCGGTTTCTCTGAGGGCATTGCTGAACCCACAGAATTTGAGACTGTGGTCTGATGACCTTATAAAGTGAGGAGAGGAGAAAACCAAATCAAATTCACCCAAGGTCCAATCAGAGCCCCTCCCCACAGGAAGCCAAGACCTGACAATTCTGCACCCTCAAAGGAAGAAAGAAGAGCAAGGGGCTAGTCATTGCAAGTAATTCATGAAAGATCAGAATTAGTTGAACTTCTCATGGAATCTCAAACCTTAAATTTGCATTATCATGATTGTGGATGTGTCCCAAAGTAGCTGGCAGATTCTAATGCAAATCTAGGGGAAATTCACTTAATTCAAAATTTGAATCACACCTAAAACTTATTGTCTTGTTTATAATGACAATATATTGTGAAATGTAAAGAAGAACAACAAGCAAATTGAGAGAAAAGACACAATGACTGAGAAAGCATTGGATAATATTATAGGAATAATCTTACACAGATTACAAAACAAGTATGTTGATATAAAAATTATCTTTAACAGAGCTGCAGGAAACATGAAACTTTAAAAAGAGTTATACTATGTTTCCAGTCAAGATGGAGGTGTATGTAGACACACCGCATCTCATTGCACAACCATAAGAAAAAACACAACTAACAAACACAAAAAACACCCATAACTGCCAGAAAATCACCCAGCAAAACACCCAGACCTGTATAGAAGTCCAACAACCAAGGATTTAAAGAAGCTGTGTTCATCCAGATGGGTAGGCGGGTGGAGCTGGGGAGCTGGGGCACAGAGGATTCGGTCTGGGCACAGAGGATTCGGTCTGTGTGCAAGCCAGGGGTGAGAGGCAGTGAGGCCATGAGGGCCAGGTGATGGTGGATGGCAGAATGGGCAGCCCCACATGCATGTGTTGTAGATAAAAATCAGGGAGTCACCTTGCTAGTGTGTGATCCTAACTCCAGGCTGCACTGTGGAGCACAGGGCTCCAGCTACTGGACAAAAGAAAGATAATCATTCAGGCCGTAAACCCTGTGGGGGTTGGAACAGCAGAAGAAACTGCTGGTTTCATAGGAGAGCCCCAAACATACACAAACCCACCTACCTTGGGAACCACAACCAGTACAGCAACTGGAGGGGTGAAAGTCACACACAGGAAGTAGGTGAAATGATTGGAAATGGGGCAAGGGCCAGTGGAGCCTTCAGAAGTCAGCTAGCAGTGACATTGTCCCCTGTTTGTCCCATCCCCCACACACAGAGCCACAGTTACCCCACCCTGGCAATACCCAAGGCTCTGCCCCATAAGACTTAACGGGTGTGCTAAAATGCAATCAAAGAGCCCTACCTAGTACACAGACACAAGGAGGCTTCCAAAATCAGGACACAAAGAAATATGGCCTAATGAAGGAATAAAACAGAACCCCAGGAAAAGGACTAAGCAATGTGGAGACAGCCAATCTATCAGATGCAGAGTTCAAAATACTGGAGGTCATAATGCTCAAAGATCTCACTGAATACAGCAAAAACATAAGGGAAGAAATGAAGAGTATGCTAAGGAAAATAAAGAAAAATCCACAGGAAACAAACAGTGAAGGGAAGGAAGCTATGATTCAAATAAATGATTTGGGACATAAAGAAGAAATAAAAATTCAACCAGAACAAAATGAAGTAACAAGAATTCAAAAAAATGAGTTTAAGAAGATTCTGGGACATCTTCAAAAGGACCAACATCCAAACAATAAGGATGCAGGAAGCAGAAGATGAACAGCAAGATTTAAAAAACTTATTAGAAATAATAATAAAAGAAAACTTCCTTAACTTGGTAAAGAAAGTAGACATACAAATCCACGAAGCACAGAAGGTCCTAAACCAGGTGGGCCCAAAGAGGGCCAAACCATGACACCTCATATTTAACATGCCAAAGATTAAAGATAGAGAATCCTAGAAGCAATAAGAGAAAGGCAGAGAATTACCTACAAAGGAGTTCCCAGAAGACTATCATCTGATTTCTCAAAAGAAATTTTTCAGAGAAGAAGGGACTGGCAAGAATTATTCAAAGTGATGAAAAGCATGGACCTACAAAGAACATTACTCTATCCAGCAAAGCTATCATTTAGAGTTGAAGGACTGGTGAAGGTAAAGCTAACAGAGTTCATCATCACCAAGCCCTTATTATATGGAATGTTAAAGGATTTATGTGGGAAAAAGAAAAAGATCCAAACTATGAACCTTAAAATGATAACAGATTACAAATTACCAACAACTGAATATGGAAAACAAAACCAAAAACAAAAATAGACTAAGCAAACAACTAGACAGGAGTAGAATCACAGATTTGGAAATAATTTGGAGGGTTTATTAGCTGGGAGGGGCAAGGGAGAGAATAGGGGGAATGGTGCAGGGTTAAGGATCATGAATTGGTAGGTATAAAATAAACAGAGGGGTGTTAGTATAGTATAGAAGATGGAGAAGCTGAAGAATTTATATGCACAACCCATGGGCATGATCTAAGGAGACAATTACTGGAGGGAATATGGGTTATCAGGCAGAGTGGGACAAAGGAAGAAAAATTGGAAAAATTGTAAGAACAAAATCAATAAAATATACTTTAAAAATAAATACAGACATACCATTTGAAAAAGAACTAAATACAACTTCTAAAAGTGAAAGATGAAATAAGCAAAATTAAAGTCTCAGTGGATAAAGTTAATGACAGCTTAAACAAAGCTCAAAATAAAATTTGTATGTGTAATAACTCAGAAAATATTTCAAGAATACAGCACAGAGAAGCATAAAGATAAAAAGGTAGAAAATAATACAATTAGAAGGTGGAACATACTTATAATTAGAGTGCAGGAAGAAGAAAGACAGACTAGGAAAAATGATAATGAGATATTGGCTGAGATGTTTCTTTTCAAAAGTGATGAAGAACATCCAATTAGGGGGTTGAAAAGATAAACAAAATTCAAGTAGAATAATACAAAGAATTGGCAGAAATCTTAAGAGAGATCACTAGAGGAAAAAAGATGGTTTTCTACTAAGTGGTGATTAAAGGCTGAATTCTCAGTAGCAACAATGAGTGAAAGGTATCCAGGAAGAAACAACTTCATGGTCATTTGGGAAGAGTTTTAGACATAGGTTATAAATGAATGAGTAATGATACAGAATTAATGAATAGAGGATGAGAATATGATAGGACAGCTTGCCCTACAAAGG